GGGTCCAGGCTGGGGATTCGAACCTGCCACCTTTGGTGTACGTGGCTGGCGCCTTAGCCGGTTGAGCTATAGGCGCCGAGCCTGGAAAATTATATTTAAACTAGAAAAATGAAGAAAGAAAAGAAAAAAAGGAAAATCTGGAGGGAAAGTGTCGAAATACAAAATAAAAAAAAACCTAAAGCAGTGTAAAATTATATTTAAACTGGAAAAATGAAGAAAGAAAAGTAAGGAAAATCTAGAGGGAAAATGTTGAAATAAAAAATAAACCAAAACAGTATATATCTTGCTGAATATTGTCTGGGCAACAGGTGATCTTTTGGGGTATGAGGGTTTTTTTGTTGTTGTTGAGACAGAGCGTCAAGCTGTTGCCCTGGGTAGAGTGCTGTGGCATCACTGCTCACAGCAACCTCCAATTTCTGGGTTTAAGCAATTTCCTGCCTGAGCCTCCCAAGTAGCTGGGACCACAGGCACCTGCCACAATGCCCAGCTATTTTTGTTTCTAGTTGTCATTGTTGTTTTGCCATCCTGGGCCGGATTCAAACCTGCCAGCTCTGGTGTGTATGGCTGGTGCCTTAGCTGCTTGAGTTATAGGTGCTGAGCTGTGGGATAGGAGATATTAATCACAATGCTGATATAGCTGTATGGCAGGGGGGACTAGAGGCCTCTGCTGATTTCTCAAAGCCTGCAGGGTTGAAAACCTAAATCTCTTCTCAGCCCACTTAAAAGACACTTTAAACTGTTAACCTTGGCTAAGCAGAAGCTTTCCCAGGAAAGCACTTGTCACTGGGCTATCTCCTGAAATGGCTGTCTGCTTATCCAGTGCACCAAAACTGGTCTCACCCTATGCCCCTGAGGGGCAAGGCTGTAAGGTAGCCCTGTTACTGCCAAACACTGAAATCTCCGCTCTTCCCTAGCATCTCATTCCCTGCCTTTGGGCTGCTCAGTCACTAATTACTCACTCAAAGGTCTCCCAGCCCAATCCTCGCTCTGTGACCCCGAGGGTGGAGCCTGCAGGGGCAGTTCTACCACTATGGCTGCACAGGCAGCCCACAGCCAAACAAAATTATTAGCTCCATTCTGGTTCAGCAGCTCAGTCCAGGGCTCTAGACAATGCTTAAAGTTGTCCACACTCTCTCCCTAGTTCTCCCAAGGTAGTTCGACCAAGTGTCCAAGTCCAAAAAATCGAAACAGCCCAGGAAGGCCTTCCTGGTTTGCAGTCTTACTGTTAGAGCTGCAGGCAGCCTCAGACCCAACGAACACAACCACTTGCCAGTTCTCCACTGCTTTAGTACTCTTCTTGGGGTCCAGGAGTCTCTTGCTGTCTCCCTGTTCCCCCAAAGGGATGTTTGTGGGCAGATCCCACAAACCAGAGATGCCTAGAGTCTTCTCTCCCCAATCTCACTGCGCCTGGTTGCAAAGAAGCTGTTACTCGGCCACCATCTTGCTCCACCACCTTTCTCCCTAATCTGAAACTTTGTGTTGTCAAAACCCTCACACTCAAAGGTCATTCTTTATTCCTCTAGTAATTTAATTTCGTGGTGTCTGACATATGTACAGATGGCTGATATCCCTCTGTTCAGCTGAATGAAGGTCTGTGTGTGGTATTTTGCTGCCTACGTGTTATTCGTGTACCTACAACACATAAGAAAAAGGGTGTGTTGAGTGAAGGGCAGGACTGGTGCTTCTCTGGATACAGCTGACGGGGGACATGCTGCTGCCTATGGTGACCTGGAGAGTTACTTTTTTGATCTAAGGGTAAATAGTTGGGATTGCTGGGATCTCCTCCCCAGGATATTTGGCCTACAGTACATTTGTCTCACTGGAAACACGTTTTTGGTTTTCCTGTATACGAAAGAAGGAGTCCATAATTCTGCTCCAGTTACTGGGCATTCCTTAGGGTTTTTAGGGAATGAGGAAAAGAAGAGTGTGGGAAATTGACATGCTTAGATTTCTCATCCCATTAAAATAGCAATGGGGCCCTCTGCCAAATTTATCTGTTGAAAGAGTACCACCATGTCGGCACTTCTGGCTGCTTTGGGTCCCTGCTGGGCCAATATGGACCCTCTTGGGGACTTGGTGTCTTTATGGTGCACAGATGCTAATCATGAAACACGGTCTTTTCCCAGGTGATGACAACGGGAAGAAGGCCAACAACCCCAATCACTGCAACTGCATCATAGATCAGATCTTCACAGGAGGGCTGCAGTCGGACGTCACCTGCCAAGTCTGTCAGTAAGTGCGAGGCCGCTCATGCATGCCCTGAGAAGTCAGGGTCAGGCCTAGAGCGTGGTGGGCACCCGTACCACCAGCCCGTCCTGACCACGGTCTCTGGGCTGTCTGGCTCTTTATGGTGGTCAGTCTATAGCAGCACCTGACCACTTGAGTAGTTTTATCAGACGCCCAGAGTTTGAGGTCTGGGCAGGTGGCCTATACTTTGGAGAAGTAATGTCCTGTGGGGTGTGTGCACTTTGTGTTAGGGTCTCAGCTGTTGTGTCCAGCAGTATATCCTGGGAGCCTCTCTACATTTCTATACAGTTCTTGGCACCACGAACCAAATAAAATACCCCTGTTCATGGAGGGCCAGGTCGTGGTGGCAGAGTCTGCCACATGTGTTGCAGGTGTGAGTGGTTTAATGAGCTTGTGGTTTCCTTTTCCATTTTCTCTCATGCAGTGGTTCTAATTCTTTCCAGTGTGGCCTTTGCTTAGTGCTCAAAGCTTCTTAGTGCCAGGAAAAAAAAATCTACTGGCTTTTTAGGATACAGGAACCCTCTACCTCAACCTCAAGTGTACTTTGTTAGTTATTTTTAGAAATAGGGTCTAATGCTGTTGCCCAGGCTGGAGTGCCATGGCATCATAGCTCACTGTGGCTTCAAACTCAGGGGCTTAAGCGATCCTTTTGCCTTAGCCTCCCAAGTAGCCGGGACAGCAGGCACTCACTATTGCACCTGGCTTTGTTTTTGATTCCAGGTCAATTTTTCAAAAACCCGGTCTCTAGAATTACCCTGGACCTGCAGTGGATCATCATTTGCAGTCTGCATAGGCCAGCTGGGTATGGGCAGGACAGAGGTGCCTGTGTCAAAGGTGCAGTTTTCTGTAAGGAGCATAGATCATGTGGGGCTTTAGCCCTTGTTCTGAGTAATTTGGGCCCCTTTGCAGGCCCGTAACTGCTGCATTCCATTAGGAGATTTTCTCAGTTTTGTTTTTTGAGACAGAGTTTCACTAGGGCTTGAGTGCCATGGCATCTCACTATGTTGACATCTTACTATGTCCTTTTCAGTAGGGTGCTGTGGCATCACAGCTCACAGCAGCCTCAAACCCTTGGACTTAAGTGATTCTCTTGCCTCAGCCTCCCAAGTAGCTGGGACTATAGGTGCCCACCACAAAGCCTGGTTATTTTTTATTGTTGTAGTTGTCATTGTTAGTAGTCCTGGGCCAAGTTGGAACCTGCCAGCTCCACTGTATGTAGCTGGCGCCCTAACCACTGAATACGGTTGCTGAGCTGATTTTCTTAGTTTTTTTTTTTTTTTCCTTCTTCTTCTTTTAAAGACAGAGTTTCACTTTGTTGCCCTCAGTAGATTGTTGCCCTGGTGTCACAGCTCACAGCAACTTCCAGCTCTTGGGCTTAGGTGATTTTCTTGCCTCAGCCTCTGGAGTAGCTGGGCCTACAGGCGCCCGCCACAACGCTATTTTCTTAGTTTTAAAGCCTATTTACTTGCCTGAGCAAGAGCAAGACCCTGTCTCTCCCCAAAACAGAAAAACTAGCCAAATGTGGTGGCAGGTACCTGTAGTCCCAGCTCCTCAGGAACCTGAGACAAGAGGATCTCTTGAGCCCAAGAGTTTGAGTTTTCTATGACCTCTGATGCCCTGGCCCTCTACCCAGGGTAACAGAGTGAGACTCTGTCTCAAAAAAAAAAAAGCCTATTTAAATACTTGCAGTACATTTCCTAATCTGTGAGTGTTTTATGTTTATATAAGTATATGTAGATCTCTAGGAGGGAATTAGCCTTGTTAAGTGCATCCTTAAGTGTCCGGGCATCCTCTGTGAAGGGTGCCTCAAGGTCCATTTGTTACCCAGGGTAGCAGATTCCAGTTCCCAGGTCAGCTGAGATGGATCCAAGAATTCAGAGCCTCTGGACTGGGGCCTGTGGATCTTTACTCCTAAGAAGATCCCTAAATGACTGTGGTGGTCTAGATGTAGAGACTTGCTTAGAGGGTTCACGCACATCCCTTCCTGGGCTGCCCTGAGAGCCTGGGAGGTCTGATGAATGGTGCTTCTCCCATCCTGTGTCTGACCTGTGTGGTGTTGCTTGGGCAAAAGGGTGGAATGTGAAAGGGGGGTGGGGGAGCCTCACTTGGTGTGGCCAGGGAGCCACAGTGGGCAGCCATCCTCACCTGTGTCTTTCCTCCCTGTGTTCCTAGTGGTGTCTCTACCACGATAGACCCCTTCTGGGACATCAGTTTGGACCTGCCTGGCTCGTCCACCCCATTCTGGCCCCTGAGCCCAGGGAGCGAGGGCAGCGTGGTGAATGGAGAGAGCCATGTTTCGGGGACCACCACTCTCACAGACTGCCTGCGAAGGTGAGCAGCTCGCCCAGAGGCTTCCTCCTGGGAAGGTTATCCAGAAGTAGGGGCTGGTCAGGAACAAACCAGGCTTAGCTGCTCTTGTCTGGAGGTAGTGGCTTTGGGAAAGGGCAGGATTACTCTTCAGCTGCACATGCTGGTTTGCCTTTCTTTCTGTCCACCAGCTGTGTGTCATGTGGGTGTCCGCATGACCAGACCCTGTATGCAGGAACCATGGGCCAAAGAGCAGGACTCACAGCTCTTGCCCTTCACATAGTGAGCTGCACCCGGTATGAGCTAATAGCTTGTGCTACCACCTTCTGTGCAGGCAATTAGAACAGTTACATGGACATTGGCACTTCTGCTTGTTTGGTCAACGTGACTGCTATGAAATATGTTTGAATGCTGCAGTATTCAATTGTAGAGAGACCAGAGAAGCTCACTAAACTTTTATTTTAATTGAGTTCGGTGTGCTAAAGCCTTTATATTCTCTTACTTGGACTAATTAAAGGCTTTGCATAGAAGAGCCCTCAGTGAGTGGCGGTGCCCCTGGCGGGGAGGTGTGGTGTGTGGGCTCCTGTTTGCCACAGGGTCCACAGGACCAAAGTTTGCGTGTTTAGAGTTTTAAAATGCGTCACTATTGTTAAACTGATAGGACTAGGTATAAAATGTACCACATTTTTCAAGAGAGTCTGCCACTAAGTTGAATTTAGTTACAAATTTCAGCACAATTGAAACTTTGCAGGCAGGCTGGTGGGAGGAGGACATGTAGAGGGCCCCATGGGAATGGTGCCCAGGGACCTGAGGAGGGCGCTGTGCACCGCTCTGACCTGTGTGGGCCTGTTTGTGATCTCTGTGTGGCCCTGTGTGGGCCTCTATGTGGCCTTTTGTGGACTGTGTGGTGCTCTATGTGGACTATGTGGCCTGTGTAGGCCTCTGTGTGGATTTTGTGGCCCTCTGTGTGGCCCATGTGGGCCTCTTTGTGGCCTTTTGTGGCCTGTGTGGGCCTCTGTGTGGACTGTGTGGCCCTGTGTGAACTGTGTGGGCCTCTGTGGGCCTCTGTGGGCCTGTGTGGGCAGTGTGGCCCCTTTCCCAAGTACACCTGAGACTAGACCACAAAGCAGCTGATGAAGCAGGCTCAGCTTTGGTCAGTGAGCTCCTTGCCCTGCCCAGGGCGAGAAGGCAGGATTTTTAGAGCATGAGCAAGGGCTTTCCAAACCCAGATGTGGGAAAATGCCTTTTTTTTTTTTTTTTTTTTTGAGACAGAGTCCCCAGTATGTCGCCCATGGGAGAGTGCTGTGGCATCATAGCTCACAGCAACCTCCAACTCCTGGGCTCAAGTGAGTCTCCTGCCTCTGCTTCCTAAGTAGCTGGGACCACAGGCACCCGCTACAATGCCCGGCTATGTTTGGTTGCAGCCATCATTGTTTGGCGGGCCTGGGCTGGATTCATACCTGCCACCTTAGGTGTGTGTGGCTGGCGCCTTAGCCACTTGAGCCACAGGCGCCGACCTTTTTTCAGATTTTAAAATTTGGTTATACAATATACTAAAAGTCTGTTTTATAAGTTTTTTTTTTTTTTTTTAAATTTAGAGACAGTCTTACTCTATCACCCTTGGTAGAGCGTCATGGCATCACAGCTCACAGCAATCTCCAACTTCTGGGCTTAGGTGATTCTCTTGCCTCAGTCTCCCGAGTAGCTGGGACTATAGGTGCCCACCACAACTTGGGCTGTTTTTTTGTTGCAGTTTGGCTGGGCCAGGTTTGAACCCACCACTCTTGGTATATGGGGCCGGCACCCTACTCACTGAGCCATAGGTGCTACCTGTTTTATGAGTATTATTGTTAATAGCTACCACTTGTGCCAGAAGTGCTTTTAACATGTCCCTTCTGTCACATAATCTCTCCCTACTGCTAGAAAATTACTTTCCCCAAATACCTAAGGTTTTTAAATTTTAATTATGATTTTTTTGAGACAGAGTCTGTGTCACCCCGGGTAGAGTGCTGTGGTGTCACAGTGATACAGGGCAAGTGGCATCCCACCTAGCTCATGGAGCTGGGGGGCACGGACCAGCTGCCTTGGTGATATTGGTGCGGTGGCAGCAAGCAGTAGAACCAGCAGGCTAGAGAGTGGGCAGGAAGACCCCATTTCCTAGGCCTAGGAATGAAAGGAATTGTAGCCATTCATTTGAGACCCAGACAGGACCCAGACATGTCCCAGACACACTAACTAACCAAGCCCAGCTAAATGTAACTACCGAGGGCCCTATGAGAATATATATATATATATATATATATACACACACACACACACATCCACACCCACACCCACACACACCCAGACAAAGAGCCTAGAGACAGAGAGACAGAGCTTTTCTCTCCTGACTTTGGTTTTCTCTCTCTGCCAGGAGCTCTGGCGCTTCTGTATTCTTTTCTGTAAATAAATCCTATCTTACCACTGATCTGTGGTCTGCAGATTAATTTTTCAAATCACCAAGACCAAGAACCTACTGAAGAACGAAATTCCAGTATCAGCAGCTCACAGCAACCTCAAACTCCTGAGCTTAAGTTAGGCGTCCTCAAACTACGGCCCACAGGCCACATGCAGCCTGCCTAGGACATTTATCTGGCCCGCCAGGTGTTTTTGCCACTGCTGCCTGTCCTGCTTAGCAGCCGACTTGTCCCAGGGTCTGCAGTCTGGCCCTCCAACGGTCTGAGGGACACTGAACTGGCCTCCTGTTTAAAAAGTTTGAGGACCCGGCTTAAGTGATTCTCCTGCCTCATCTTCCTGAGTAGCTGGGACTACAGGCGCCTGCCACAATGCCTGGCTAGTTTTTTTCTCACTCTTGCCCAGGCTGGTCTTGAACTCCTGAGCTCAAGGGATCGTTTCACTTTGGCCTCCAGAGTGGTAGGACTACCGGATTTCCCCTGCCTTTGTGTACCATTTCATTGGGGGGAAGTACTCATTTGCAGCCCAGCCGCTTCAGGCCACAGCTTTGTAAAGACAGTGGGTCAGGAGCAGTGTCCTGGGGCCACAGGCTCTGGACTCAATGGGGAGGGCAAAGCTCAGTCTTGAGAGGCCGGAGCACACTCCCATCATGGTGTTCGTGGGCACAAACCCTCGGATCCCTGGCCATGGTGACTTGGGACATGGGTGGAGAGTGGTGGCGCCTATTGCAGGGACACTCCACCATATCTCCTCTGTCAGAGCTGGCTGGCAGTGGGAGGGAGCTGTAGGGCAGGGTGTGGGCATCCCCTGGGGCGTCTGTGGGTCTTTGGACATGGAGGTGTTGGGTTGTGTCTAGCGGTGCTGCTCCAGGACCAAAGTGATCTGCCCATTAAGTTCATGTGGCCCCGGGGCGGGCCAAGCTTTGGACAGTTTGGTGGTAGCGAGAGGAGGTGAAACCTGGGCATGGGTGCTGCTCACAGGCGCTTTAGCTAGTCTGGCTCCCTGTCACTAGAAGAATGAACTAAAGTTAAACTTTCTATTTATGTTGAGATAGTTGTGATTCCCCTGCAGTTGTGAAAAATGACAGCCAGGTCCCATATACCGTTTACCCAGTGTCCCAGGTGTCCTGCAGCGTTGTGGCTGGCAGCACAGCCTGATGGTGATGGTGACATAGGACGTGCCAGTCCCTCCATCTACAAGGTCCCCACAGTTGCACCTCCTGCCCCCTCCTGAGCCCTTGACCTTGTGGATCTTTTCTCCAGGTGTACAGATCCAAAATTTTCAGGATTATGCAAATGAAATTATATAACGTGTAACCTTTGGGATTAGCTTTTTTCACTCACCGTATTCTCCAGAGATTTACCCACACTGTTGCGTGGATCACTAGTCTGTCCCTTTTCACTGCTGACTAGTATTTCATGTGTGGCTGTACTACAGTTTAATCACTCACTTGTTAGAGGACATCTGGGTTGTTTCCAGGTTTTGGCTGTTATGGGTAAAACTGCTATAACCATTCATATGTAGTTACTGTATGAATATAAGTTTTCATTTTCCTGGGTCATTATTTAACTGGTGGTATGAAATTAGAACATGATTACCATTTCCCCAGGCCTTTGAATTAAACAAAATATTTTTAAGATAAATGTTTTTTAAAAAAAAGAGTCAAAGAAGTTGGAGAAAAAAATAATTTCTCTTTCATTGTGAAATTATAAATGTCTTTCACTGCATGTGTATGTTTTGGGGAGAGAACTCAACCCATTAGAAGTGGTAGAATACCTCTGCTCCTCACTCTGGTCTCCTCTCCTGGCATTCTTATGTGCCTGGCAGGTTCACCAGACCGGAGCACTTGGGGAGCAGTGCCAAGATCAAGTGCAGTGGCTGCCACAGCTACCAGGAGTCCACTAAACAGCTTACCATGAAAAAACTGCCCATCGTGGCCTGCTTCCATCTTAAAGTAAGTTTTCCAGAAAGCCAGCCCCACTGGCTTGATTTTTTTTCTCCACAGTACAACTTGAAGCTTGCTAGTTTGGCAGCAGGTCAGTAAGGCATGTGGAGGAGCCACTGTGAGGGTGTGAGTGGGACGACTCCTGTCTATGCCCCAGGAAACAAAATGTAGGATTAGAGTTCCTTTGGGGAGGCGTCAGGATGTGGTTAAGGCGTCAACAGGCTTTTCTGTAAAGGGCTAGTTAATAGACAGGAAGTTTTTTAGGCTTCATGGCTACATATTCTTCTTTGCTGTATTTTGTGACTTTTTTTTTTTTTTTTGAGACAGAGCCTCAAGCTATCCCCCTGGGTAGAGTGCCATGGCATCATGCTCACAGCAACCTCCAACTACTAGTGATTCTCTTGCCTCTGCCTCCCAAGTAGCTGGGACTACAGGCGCCCGCCACAACGCCTGGCCATTTTTTGGTTGCAGCCATCATTGTTGTTTGGCGGGCCCGGGCTGGGGATTCGAACCCGCCACCTTAGGTGTATGTGGCTGGCGCCTTAGCCGCTTGAGCCACAGGCGCTGAGCCACTTTTGTGACTTTTAATATACAAGACAGCCACTTGGAACTCACTTGCTGGGTTTGGTGAGTGTCTTGTCTGGTGAAAAGTAACAAAATGTTCAATTTTGCTGCCAGTGGTTATGGGCGGGTCATCTGCACTTGGCTGGGCTTGCTGTGAGATTACTTTAGATTACTTTCTGAATGGTCTCGCCATGTCAGGACTTCACATGGGGGTATGTCCGGATCAACATTGTATTGAGTCTGTGTGCTCTCTGTGCAGCCAGAAGACACTCAGAAAAGTAGACTTTGAGGCACAGAGAAGGGCCATGGGGCCACTAACTGTCAGGTGGCTGATCCTGCCTCTCTTCCCTCTCTCTCCCTCCCCTGTTGCTGCAGAGATTTGAACACTCTGCTAAGCTGAGGCGGAAGATCACCACATACGTGTCCTTTCCCCTGGAGCTGGACATGACCCCCTTCATGGCCTCCAGGTGGGAGAGGGTGTCTTCACCTGCCTTGGGGTGGGGGTGCCTTGGCCCTGTTGGGGTGGGACCCAGCCCAGTCCTCATGACAAGACGATTGCTGGCAAACATCTGACCTGCCACAATCTTAACCAAGACACACTTCAGTGATTTGTTTTCATTAGATATAGTTTTTGCTTTCGATTTTTTTCCTGTTAATTCTCTATCCACTTTCAAACTTGGGAAGTGACCAAGATGAGATCACAGTGAGGAGGCAACATTTTATTTGAATGATGAGAGTCTGAAATACAGATGCACATTGATGTTATAGCTGTAGATTTCATTTTCCTTGTTTTCAACTTTTTATATAATAGACCACCTTGTAGAGACCAAGCTGCTTGATGAGGTGTGAACACATAGTGTCCTCTGGCTGCTGTAACAAAATAGTCACACATTCAGTGGTCTAACAGTAAGATTGTTTTCTTCATTGTTTTAGAGACCAGACATCTGAGTCAGGTGTCGGCAGGACCACCTTTCTGTGAAGGGTCTAGGGAAGGTTCTGGAACATTCCTGGCTGCTGCCTCACAGGGCTTTGTCTCTGCCTGGCTCTCTTGTGTCTGTGTCCAGTTGCCCTCTGATTCTCCCTCATGGAAACCTTGGTCACTGGACTTAGATCACTAGGTGACCTCGTTCAGATTACCTTAACTTATCACATCTGCGGAGATCTTTCTACAAGTATCTCAGGTTCCAGGGACTGAGATGTGGAGATTATTTTTTTTAGGGGACACAGCTCAACCCATGGCACCATCTACAGCAAATGACCTTTTGTATCGCTATCTTCCCAGGGTCCTTCCTTGTGGTCTTGCCCCTGTGGAACCTTTATTTCAGATAAAGCCAGACCACTAGGGTGTAGCTTTGGGTTGTCAGCCTGTGACCCTGTCCCCAGGGAAGTGGGCCATGCTGACCACAGATTTCACATGGCCAGTAAGGTGACAGGATCTCAGAGATGATGGTATCTCTGCTGTTGTTAGCTGTAGCTCCTTATGGAGTCATGGCAGTCACGGGTTTTCATGTTCCCAGCTGCCCCTCCCTGTCTACCAGGAGATGTGCTGGTCATAGACACTGACCAGCAGCAATCTCTTTCTAGGTTGTTGAATGGGTATAACAGACATTTCTCAAAACCAAATTACAGCGGGGAGAAAGAATACTTCTCACCTGGTGTGTTATGGACAAAACTTGGCTTTTTCTCAGATCTAGGTCCTGTCACAAAGCCGGTTCAGAATTTTTTGGTCACTGTGTGGCCCAGGGGGTGTTCCTCCCAAAAGGACACAGGGCGGTGCCAGCAGGCCAGGCCAGGTGCCCTGGGCACAGGCATGCCTTGGGCACCTCACTTCATGGCCCAGCCAGTGTGCTCAGGTAACACGGGGCGGGGAGGGTCACTTGTGTCTACAACAGAGTTGTAGGAGAACGAGAAAGCATAGACACACACCTGAGCACTAGTCTGGCAGGCTAGCCTCACAAACGGTGGTGTTGCCAGAGCCCGTGTCTACCTGGCGATGTCACCAGAGCCCGTGTCTACCTGGCGATGTCACCAGAGCCCGTGTCTCTGCCTGGCGATGTCACCAGAGCCCGTGTCTCTGCCTGGCAATGCTAAGTAGTGCTGTGTTCTGCCATTTGTCACAGCAAGGAGAGCAGGATGAACGGACAGTACCAGCAGCCCGTGGACAGTCTCAGCAGTGACAACAAGTGAGTGCTGCCCAGTGTGTCCCAGCGCCTGGGCATTGCCAGGCGAGTGGCGTCTTGTATGCCACATGGTGTCAGCAGCTGTCTGGGGCCACGTGCACTGTCCACTTACTGTCTGGCCAACCTCTGTGGTCAGTGGGGGAGGGACTTCCCACACTTCTGTCATGTCAGTGCTCCCACTGTTGGGGAGCCCATCCTCTCCTCTGGTCTCTGGTGGGAGGGCTCATCTGGATAGCTACACGTTGCCCTCACTGCCTGCGTGAGGCCTCCTCTTATTCCACTGCACTTCTTCCTTTTGATGTCAGAGAGAGCCAACGCCGGGGTGTGCTGACATGCCCAGGCTGCCTGCTGCCACCTCCTTTAGACTAATTTCAGGGAGCAGCTGGAATGGGCAAGTCAGGGGTGGCTGGGCCCTCTTCTCTGTGCAGCCTCCAAGGTGCAATACTCGGGCCCAGGCCATCTGGTGTCTGAAGGTGATAGTGTTAAGCCAGCCTCTCTTCCCTCCCTCCTAGGTACTCCTTATTTGCTGTTGTCAACCATCAAGGAACCTTGGAGAGTGGCCATTACACCAGCTTTATCCGGCAGCACAAAGACCAGTGGTTCAAGTGTGACGATGCCATCATCACCAAAGCCAGCATTAAGGATGTGCTGGACAGTGAAGGGTGTGTCTAGGGGCAGGAGAAAGGCCTGCTCAGGCAGCTTTGCCTCCCCTCTGCACCTAGTGCCATTCAGGGTTGCTCACCTTCAGTGGCCTAAGCAACTTGGATGTATTCTAGATAGGATGCTAGCCTCAGTGGGTTGTCAGAGGACTGAGAATGGGCCCTCCAGGGACCCAGGGGATCTCCCTGCCACAGATTCCTTGAGCGGTGGCAAAGCCCCCAAGAGGCTTCACACAGAAGGTGTGTTTGGTAGGACAGCCTCAAGGGCAGCAAGGGGAACTTGGGCTGGATGTGGTGGCTAGTGGTCCTTAAGGACACTGGGCCCCTCACAGGGCAGGACAGTTAACAGTGTGGGCAGGAGCTGTGGGAGGGCAGGGGGCTTCCTGCAGGGAGTGGTGCCACCAGCCAGTGAAATAGTCCTTGAGGGCTGACAACTAAAACCATTAACTGAGAGATCAGACTAGTAGGACTGCAGAAGGCACCAAGCTTGTACCCTGGTTTGGGCAGTGGCTCGGCTCTGACAGGTCGAGGTCAGCTGCAAGCTGCCTACTCTCTCTGCCCACACAGGTACTTGCTGTTCTACCACAAGCAGTTCCTGGAGTACGAGTAGCCTCATCCGCAGCTGGTCAGAGAAAGTGAAGGCAACAAGCTGGTGACCCTCACGAAGCAATCCCCAGCCTCCCCGACCTCAGGACACCACCTCCCACATAGGCATGACCTGTGGGTCCCTCTGCTCTGGGACCCTCGGGGTCAAACTGACAAACACAGGTGGTGGGGGCTCAGGAACTGCACAGAGACACACCATATGAGGGTGTGCTTTGGGCGGGGAGGAATAGAGTGGTCCTGTCGCCAGGAGCCCCTGTGGTCCTGGGTCTGAGTGGACAGGGAGCCTCGGTGCCAAGCAGCTGCTGCCTGGTGCTTCCTGACACCTCCAGTGTTCTCCTAGCTTGTGGTTCAGAAAGGTCCCCACCTGTCTTAAAATCATGAGTCCATTAAAGCAGTGAGCAGAAAGATGAGGTGGTGTCTGGGGAGGCTTTGCTGGCCTTGCCCTTCCTGAGTGTGGTGTTAAGCTGCAGAGTGCAGGACCCTTAGGCTCTGTGTTTTCAGCAGCCAGAAAGCAGCCCCACACACCTGTGGGACTGGACACGCTAAATCGGGTTTCTGAGTGTGTCTGTTTTGCAAGATAACTTAGCATCAAACTGCATGTGGAAGCATCTCTTGGTTTTCTAGAAATAGGCATTTTCTTATCCTCCACCCTTTTTCTCTTTTTCCACAATGGTGAATTTCATAAATGTAGTAATAGCAAAGTGAGTGAATTACTGAGTTTATACTGAAATTTAGATAGTTGCTCATTTGTTCTCTAGAGTGATTCTTGGTTTTACCTGGTGCTTGTTTGTTGCCCCCCAGCATCTGCATGTCTGGTCAGTGGCCTCGGGACACAGGGGTCTTTGTTATCTTAGTCTCTGGGGTAGACATAGCCTCTCCTGGGCATTTCCTGGCTCCCACCCTCATGTTTTTCACCTTTGTCGTCTGTCCCATCACCCATCTGTTACTGCTTGGTGGCCAGCGTGCAGGACACAGAGCTGAAGCTACTCCTCTGCTCTGCGTCTGTGCAGTCTTGGGTGGCGGGAGCAGATGGACCTCCTCAGGGAGCGTTTGGGCAGAGCTGAGGAAGCAGAACAAAACGCATCACTGCTTGTAAGATATTTTGCATGTATTGTCTCTTCAAACTGAGATTGTCTGTTTCTGAGAAATTATAACATAGGGACATGGGGGAGGAGATGTGTTAATATAGTTTGTGGCGCAACCATCTCAAGCTGTGCTTGTCCTGGAAGCTCCCATCTCCACCTGAGGTGTGGTCCCTTCAGTCCTGGAGCACAGTCACCATGGTGAAGGCTTTGCCAGTGTTTCTCATGAAGAGCCTGGTGGTTGGCATTGCCAGCTCTGTGCCTGTCTCCACCTGAGGTGTGGGCCCGTCAGTCCTAGAGCACAGTCACCGGTTTGAAGGCTTTGCTAGTGTTTCTCATGAAGAGCCTGGTGGTTGGCATTGCCAGCTCTGTGCCTGTCTCCACCTGAGGTGTGGGCCCGTCAGTCCTAGAGCACAGTCACCGGTTTGAAGGCTTTGCTAGTGTTTCTCATGAAGAGCCTGGTGGTTGGCATTGCCAGCTCTGTGCCTGTCTCCACCTGAGGTGTGGGCCCGTCAGTCCTAGAGCACAGTCACCGGTTTGAAGGCTTTGCTAGTGTTTCTCATGAAGAGCCTGGTGGTCAGCATTACTGGCTCTGTGCCCATCTCTGCAGACAGATAAGCTTGGCCATGTTTCAATAAAGCTATGTTTATGGATATGGAAATCTGAATTATAAATACTTTTCATATGTCAAGAAAGTTTGATTTAAAAAAAAAAAAACTAAAATGAGAATTCTTAGTTAAAAAGCCACACAAAAGCAGATAGGGACCAGCTCTGGCTTGTTAGCTAATGAGGCTGAGAGGGGTAGGGACAGCTCTGAACAGGAGACACTAGGGCAGGGGAAAGGCTACCATGCCCTGGAGTACATATGGCATGAGCCTCAGCAATGCAAGTCTGAAAAGCATTTGCTGGATTAATTTTCTGTTATATGTCTGCACTTGGAGCAAGTGGAGGCATGTTTTAAGATGAGCATTATTAAATGTGGGAGGGCCTGAGTCACAGAAGCTGGTCCCATGTGACCCTACATGATATGGTCTGTGTGACAGTGGGGAAGGGGTTGTTCCTGTTGGGAGGATTGGCTGTATGGCGCCCCCCCACCCCGGGGTGCTGAGTGCTGTCTGGTGCCACTGATGTGCTGGGTGCTGGCCTTGGGCCTTCTGGTGGGGTACCTTGTGGCTCCCCAGGCCCCACCCCTGTCCCTATTGCTTGTGTTGGGGCCTTAGCTGCTCTAGGAACGTTAGTGCTGGGCAGGGAGATGGAGCTGTTTCACTTTTTGAAAGGCATTATGTTAAACTTTTGTATCCAAATTAATTTCCCTCTGCCCTGGTGCTACCTGCACATGGCACTAGGTTCTGGGTCTGACGGGAATCCACTTTGTTAGTGTTGTATCTTAGAAACCTGAAAGTATTGGCTTGGACCCCACTTAAGTGCACTCAATCAGAAATTTATTGAATCTGCACAGGAGACTGTCCTCACACAGTTCCGTCCCAGTAGTGGGCAAGTTGTCTTATATAATTTTTAGAGCCAGCAGGTTACAGAAGTGAGATGTGGCTGGTTAGCTCAGGTTGCTGGGGTTACAGCTTGGGTAGTCATGGATACAGTTTAAGTAACAATGGTTACAGTTTAGGTTATAGATATAGTTTAACAATGGTTACAGTTTAAGCAGGCAGGCTCCCACCATCATTCATCTATTGGGAACTTGGGAGGGTTTTGTGAAATGGGAGAAGGCAGGGGGAACCAAGGGGAACAGGAGCTCACAACATTAGGAACAAAATATTTACTTGATGGCTTTGGAAATCTGTTATCAGTTCCCCATCCAGCTATAAAATTCAGGAAAATGGTTTTCCTGTTCCTAGTGACCTCCCTGTGTTGGGCTGCTTGTCACAAAGAGTATCTTACCACTGAGGGACTCGCTGGCTGGTGTGAGAAACAGCTGGGACTTTGGTGACACTGCTCAGTAAGGTGGATGGACCCCTCTCCTCAGCCAACATGAGAGTTGTGAGTGTTGGATGTGCTGGGGGCCAGGCTGGGCAGGAAGCGGGTGGCTGCTCAGCTGGGTCCCTCCCGGCCACTGCAGCAGGCCCTGGGCCCGTAGTGCCCACGTGCTGTCGTGTCTCTGCTTGGTGTGTGTGCTTTTCATCATGTACGGTTACTGTTCTTTTGACAGTTCAAGTGACTGTTTTCATTTACTATGACTTTGACAACAAGAAATAGTAATGATTTACTGTGGTTGGAGATGTTATTGCCAAGTTGTTTATGCTTTTTTTCAACCATTGTTTTGGGGAGCTGTTTGACTCTCTCCTCCTCCTCCCCTACTGGCTTGTAGTCTTCCCTGTGTCATAATAAACCTACAATTTATTCTGAAAACTGTCTGGTTTTCCCCTTACTGACACTGGCAGCCAAAGAAAGGGTGGCTGGAGGGAGGACACAGCCAGGGCAGGCCCCCCAGCCCTCAGCGCCCAGAGGCATCGCTGGGTATTGGAAAGCACATATCCTCTCACACGTAGCTCTTCTGTAATTGGTGGTGGTGTAGGAGGGTGACATCCAGGATTTAGGGCAGAAGTCAACCTATTAGGCCTTTGAGTGAGCCCTGCTGTGAGGAGGGAACCCCAGTTCATAGCAAGCTCCCCACATCAGGAGGAGGTAGTAGGTGTGCACATAAGTACATAATAAGCACAGAGAAAAACTTACATAGCTGTGGGAGTCCAGGACTTTGCAGCTGGTTGCCAGGCTGTAGCTGACCTCTGGGACGTCTTCTCCACCTGGTGCTGAGCCAGCACACTTCCCCTGTCCTTAGCTGGTCCAGGGGCATCCGACTTGTTTTCTGCCACACATTGGAAGAAGAGTTGTCTTGGGCCACACAGTAAATACACAAACACTAAGGAAAGCTGATGAGCAGAAAAGTCCACGCCCACGTGACATCTGATACCACAGGGCAAGCAAAGTGAGTTCTCAGGTTGGACACCCCTGGGTCCTAGACCTTCATTCCTGAAGCACTGGAGGTTTGTCTTTTCCTTAAAAAAAAATTTCTTTTTTTCGCTTGGTGGCTCACACCTGTAATCCCAGTACTAGGGGAGGTTGAGGTGGGAGGATTACTTGAGTTCAGGAGTTGGAGGCTTATCTGAGCAAGTATGAGACCCCAACTCCTGAAAAAAATGGAAAAACCCAGTCAGGCGCTGCTGTAAGCACCTATAATCCCAGTGGCTTCGGAGGCTGAGGCAGCAGGATGTCCACAGCCTAAGTTTGAGGTTGCAGTGAGCTATGACGCCATTGTACTTTGTTCAGGGCACAGGGTAGAACTCTTGTTAAATTTTTTTTTTTTTTTTTTTTAATTTAAAGAGGGTCTTTGTAGTCCAGGCATTAGTCTAGCTCACAGCAACCTCCAGTTAAGGGAGTCAAGCAGTCCTCCTGCCTCAGCCTCCCAGTAGCTGGGTCTATAGGTATGCGCCCCCACACCCAGCTAAATTTTTTATTTTTTTATAGACATGGAGTTTCTCTGTGTTTCTCAGGCTGGTCTTAAACTCCTAGACTGAAGTGCTTGTTCCAAAGTACTTGGATTACTGCAGCCAGATGGCTTCACCCTTTTTGGAGGCTATTATTGAAACCCGTTGTGGCGAGTTCTTTCCTCTATGTGTAAACACTGGAGACTGTGCTAGCCCTGGTCCCCATTCTTCAGACTTAGGAGAATGTTGGGGGTTTCTATTAGTGTTTGTCCCTGGGGGAACATTCCCCCACCTTGGGGTCTAACATCTTCAAACCAGCAAAGCTCAAATTTACCAGGACAGAAAAAAGAAGCATTTCCATCTTGAATGTCAGACCCGTATGCTTTGGGCTTTTGTGGTCTCTAGTTAAAGTACAGCGTTCATCTATGAGAAGCTGCAGCGCAAGCCCCGGTGGCAATGGAACGATAGCCTGGTCCATGCAGCATGCAGCCTGCCACTGCCTGTCTGTACCAAGCTTTCAGCACCCTGGGCAGAAGCAGTGCAGTGTGAACTGCCTGTGGGCGTGGGGCAGGCACACCCACGTGGATCAGATCCAGTACATAGGGGCTGTGCCAGAGTGATATTAGATGGGCTCTTGAGTCTGTCTGGGTGTCTGCCAACTTAGAGCAGAAAGTGGAGATGCAACCCTGAGGCTGTTCCCTGAAGGCCCACTGTTGGCCCTAGCAGGTGAGGGCAGCCTGCTCAGGTGATCTACAACCTGGTAGAGGGGAAAGGCCTCCACTTTAAAATGCTGAACAGAATTTTTCTTTTCTTTTTTTTTTTTAAGACAGAGTCTCAAGCTGTTGCCCTGGATAGAGTGCTGTGTTATCACTGCTCATAGCAACCTCTAAGACCTGGGCTTAAGCAGTTGTTTTGCCTTAGCCTCCCAAGTAGCTGGGACTACAGATACCTGCCACAACACCTAGCTATTTTTTGGTTGTGTTTGTTATTTGTCAGCCCTGGGCTGGATTCGAACCCGCTAGCTCCAGTGTACGTGGCTGGCGCTTTAGCCACTGAGCTACAGACGTTGAGCCCTAAACAGAATTTTATACCCAGAAAAATTACCTTTTAAAAATGAAAGTGAAGGCTAGGTGCAGTTGCTCACACCTATAATCCTAGCACTCTGGGAGACCAAGGCAAGAGGATCCCTTGAGCTCAGGAGATCAAGACCAAGCTGAGCAAGAGTGAGACCCAATCTCTACCAATAATAGAAAAACTAGCCCAGTGTTGTGCCAGGTGCCTGTAGTCTCAGGATCGCTTGAGCCCAAGAGTTTGGAGTTGCTGTGAGGTATGCTGATGCCACAGCACTCTAGCCTGGGCAGCAGAGTGAGACTGTCTCAAAAAAAAATTTTTTTTTCAAATATTCAAAAACTGAAAGAATTTGTTAATGGCAGACCCATGCAGTAAAAAATGTTAAAAGATGTTCTGCAAGTGAAAGAAAAGCGCTTGCAGAGGTGTGGATGTACACTAAAAAGTGAAGATCCCAAGAGATAAATGGAAATATAAAATACATTGTTTAATTTATTTGTTCTTTTTTTTTTTTTTTGAGACAAAGTCTGACTTTGTCACCCTTGGATAGTGCCGTGGCATCACAGCTCACAGCAACCTCAAACTCCTAGGGTTAAGTGATCCTCTTGCCTCAGCCTCCCAAGTAGCTGGGACTAATGGCACCTGCCACAACGCCTGGGTATTTATAGAGATGGTATCTCCTCTTGCTCAGGCTGGTCTTGAACCTGTGAGCTCAGAGCAGTCCACCTACTTTGGCCTCCCAGAGTGCTAGGATTACAGGCGTGAGCCACAGTGCCCGACCTATCTTGTTTGTATTTTTAGAGACAGTCTCACAATGTCGCCTTTGGTAGAGTTCTGTGGTGTCACAGCTCACAGCAGCCTCAAACTCTTGAGTTTAAGCGATTTTCTTGGCTCAGCCTCCCAAGTAAGTAGCTGGAACTACAGGTGCCCACCACAATGCCTGGCAATTTTTTGTTGTAGTTGTCATTGTTTAGCAGGCCCAGGCCGGGTTTGAACCTGCCAGCCCTGGTGTATGTGGCTGGCACCATAATCACTGAGCTACGGGTGCCAAGCCTAAAAAATTTTTATTTTCAATTAGTCAGTCGTGGTGGTACATGCACCTTCAGAGCCAGCTACTCAGGAGGCTGAGGCAGGAGGATCACTTGAACCTAGGAGCTTGAAGTCAGCCTGGGCAACAGAGCAAAGGTCAATCTCTTAAAAAAAAAAAAAGATCCTGACAAGTGGCTAGAATCAGGATGTATTTTGGAGATAAGACAAATGGAATGTGGATAAAATTTACAGTTTCAGATGTTCTTTCTAGTAAAGCATTCCTTTCTAAAAAACAAATGCATACACAAAAGGTCAATTGAAAAACTGACCCCAAACCTCACAAGATTATTTGTGTCCAATTGGAGCTAGGGTTGGGCACTCAGCACCCTGTGTTCTCAGCACCCCAACTCCCCCTTGACATTCCAGAGACATCTTCCAGAGCTCCTTGGGTTTAGATGAGCAGAATTGGAAAACCACAGATCTGTAGGAGCAGAAATCTGCAGGTTTCAGATAAGGTGCTGCATTCGAACGTTGGTGGTGTTTGGCCAACATCCAGCACACGTCTGCTCCAGCCCAGGGTGTATATCCAGCCTGTCATAGGGAAGAGTGCTGCTTATACCGGGTGTGGTGGTGAGGAAGCAGTGCAACCAAATGTTACCTTGTGGGTTGGCTGCACCCTTGGGCAGACACATTTTAGATGCCAGCTGGCCTGCAGACAAAGATATAGCAGGGGTGGCTGTGGGGGGAGCCTGTGTTATGGCTGGGATTTGTCCCCTGACATTCATCTGCTGAAGCCCTAACCCCCAGTGGGTTAAGATGAGTTCAGTAGGGTGGGCTCTTATCCAGTATGACTGGTGACCTTATAAAAGGGAGAAATTAGACACAGACACAGGAAGAAAGAGATGAAGAGACACAGGGAGAAGGTGCCACCTGCACGCCCAGGGGGCCTGCGACAGATCCTCCATCACAGCCTTCAGAAGGAACCTGCCCTGCCCATGCCTAGCCCGCCAACTTCTGGCCTCAGGTCTAACATTGTTAGACCTCAGTGTTCTCTGTGAAGGCACTTGGCAAACCAATACAGTCTCTTGGTCCATGGGTGGTGAAAAGATGGGGTGTTAATATGGAGTCCTGGGCTTCCTGTGTACAACTGCCAAAGTTGCTTGTGACCCTTTGCTGTGTGCAGGTGTGCAAGATACTTTGGGGGTGGTGTAGGGTGAATAATTCTTTTTCCTGTCTATCTGTCACCCCTGAAACACATGTGTGCACAGGCTTGCTATGCTCCATGCCTTAAGGAGGCGGGGAAGGGAATTGTGTTTGTGAGAGAAATGAAGATGCCAGCCCCTCCTCTGGCTGTTTGCACAGGTGCCTCCCTGTTGCCTTTTCCCAACTCTCACCACATGCACCTGCTGCTTGAGGCCCAACCCAATCTGCAAGCTTCCTCAGAGCCAGGGATCTTCCTAAACCAGAAGAGCGGTGGCAGCTTTGTCAGAGCCTTGGGCCCAGGAGGGTAACAGGAGGGCTGTACTGGTTCATCCGCAGATGCAGCCGAAGTCCAGTGAGGAAGGGCAGCCTCAAAGGTTTTATTTTACAGGAAAAGGGGTTTTGGGGGTGTAGTGGGTGTAGTTAGCTACAGCTTGCAAGGGGAACTCCTCTGGGGGCTGCCCCTCTCTCTCTTCCTCCTCCCCCATCTCCTTCTCCCTGTCTCCCTCTCCCCCTCTAGCCCTCTCTCTTTCCACTTCCTCTGTATCTCCGCCTCTCTCATCTCTCTTCCCTCCTCTACCCCACCGACCACGCGCCCAGGACCCCATCCAGCGCTGGCGCGCACGCAGTGCCGAGGCAGCCATCCGGGGCGCGCGCGCAGGGCTGCAGGGTCGGGGTCCCAGCGTGGGGCGTCCCCTTCTCAGAGAAGCCAGGGGTCCCGGGTGCGCCCGCGCTCTCCTGGGTGGGCGTTCTGCGCTCGGGGAAACAGAAGCTGCACGTCTCCACGGGCTCAGGCAGCGCGCCCCCGGGGCTGTCTGCTTCCTTCGAGGGACCTGCGGAGGCGACAGCAGAGGGCGTCGGCCTGGCCCGGAGGTCCCGCACAGCCTCCTCCACGCGGCCAAGTCCCGCCAGCCCAGGAACTGGGGCAGTCACTGGCCTCGGCCGGGGTGGCCGGCGACAGCAACCCCTGCGCGGCCCAGCCCCCATCCAGGCCCTTTCCCAGAGTGGCCTCCTCCTAACTTGTTGTCTCAGCCCTGAAAAGTCCTGAGTCCTGGAAACCCCTTTTAGCCCGTCCCCACCGCCCTACACATCCCCTCCATGCCATTGAGACAGAACAAATACTGTAAGAATGTGTCCCAGACCTCTCCCAGGAAGACGTGTTCCATTTAGAAGCAGGAGCAGTGTCAGGACCACGGAAGGGTCTGAGCCCTATCACCTCGCAGTGAGGAGGGCGAGGACCCCGCTTTCGTGCACTCACCCTGGGAAGACATGGCGGGGACCGCACAGGGCCCTGCGGGGGGCTGGCAAGAAGCCCTCTCGCCCCTCCGCCGGAGGACGCGGGCGGCGACTACCAGGACGCAGCAGAGGAGCGCGCACAAGCAGAGTCCCAGCGCGCTGTAGACCAGTGCCAGCTGCTCCGCGCTTGGCAGGGGGCCCGGGGCAGCTGCAAGATGAAGGAGACCCTGGGTCAGGGGACCGCGCTCCCTCCGCCTCCCACGGGCTTCCAGTCCTAGGCAGTCCTCATGGCCAGCCCAGAGCCCCCATTCTGGTGTTCATACTGGCAGCAGCTTCTTCCAAGACCTCAAAGGGAACAACTCAAGCTGGTCCTTTTTTCTTGTCTCCACTTGCTGGAGGTGCAGATTGGGACAGCACCTAAAGTGAACCGTTGAGTGAAGGGAAGGAGGGGATGGAGTCCAGGGTGGATGGCCCTTTCTGACCTGAACTGGGCTCTTTCGGCCCTCAGACTGGACGGGGATTGGTTCCAGGAATTCCCTCAGATAACAAAATCCACATGTGGGCTCCGCACCTGTAGCTCAGTGGGTAGGGCGCCGGCCACATCCACCAGGGATGGCAGGTTCGAACCCAGTCGGGCCTGCTAAACAATAATGACAACAAGAACAACAAAAAAATAGCTGTGTGTTGTGGAGCGGGGTGTGTGTGTGTGTGTGTGTGTACCTGTGGTCCCAGCTACTTGGGAGGGTGAGGCAAGAGGCTCCCAAAAGTTTGAGGTTGCTGTGAGCTGTGATGCCATAGCACTTTATCTAGGGTAACTGAGTGAGACTCTGTCTTAAAAAAAAAGAATAAAGAAATAATAAAAGAAAATCTATAGATGCTAAAATTCCTCGTATAAAATAGCCTAATATTTGCATATAACCTACAAAATCCTCCTAATATATATGTGTTAAATCTAGATTTATTTGTAATGCCTACAAAATCGTCCCTATATATGTGTTAAATCTAGATGTAAAATAAATGCAGTGTAAATGGTTGCTATTCTGTATTGTTTGGGGAATGACAGGATAAAAGTCTGTACATGTTAAGTATAGATGCAACCATCCCCCAAGTACTTTTTTCCCCCAAGTACGTTCAATCCAGGGAACCCATGGACATGCAGGGCTGACTGTACTTTGAGACTAGAAATTACTAATGTGTGTGGGACAGGTGTCAATCCTGGGGAAGTGGGTGTCTGGGCACTCCGCATCTCAGGAGGCAAGCCTCCAGGTTCTGGAGTGCCAGAAGGAGACTCTGTCCAGAGTTAATGCCCTCCCTTTGAAATTTCTCCTTATCTCAAGCTTTTCTGGAACTTGGGGTGGAAGGACAGATGAGCCAGATTTAAGAAAATGTTCTAATGACATGAGCCAATGTGTGCCACGTACTTCCCACACAGGTTCTTCCCTGATCTACCCGCTCCAAGGGAAGACTGATTACCCCCGTTTAAAAAAAAAATTGTGATCCAATTCTTATACCATCAAATTCACCATTTTAAGGTGTACAATTCAGTGGTTTTTAGCATATTCACAAGATTGCAAAACCATCACCACTAACTTGGGACGATTTCTGTCAAGCTAGCAGAAACCCTAGTCTCATCAGTAGCCAAACCCCCTGGCAGCCACTCATCTGTGTTCTGTCTCTGAGGCCGTGGCCGTTCTGGAATCTCATATCACTGGAGTCACAGTCTGTCTCTATGGCTGTACTTGTCTGGAATCTCACACCACTGGAGTCAGCCTGTGGCATGCTGTGTCTGGCTTCCTTCACTTAGCACAATGTTTTAGAGTGCTACGTAACAGAACTTCATGCCTTTGATGGCCAAATAATAGTCCTCTGTGTGGCTAGACATGTCCTGTTCACCCATTCCTCAGCCGAGGGGCACTGGAGCTGCTCCACTTCCTGACCTCTCTGAGTGACACTGATGCTTGTGTGCACTCTCCTGGGTGTATGCCCAGGAGCCAGATGGCTGAAGACTAGGATACCTGTTTCACTATTTGAGGAACTACCAGATTGCTTTCTACAGCACCCCTACCATTTCATGCTCCGTTTTGCAGATGGAAAACTCAGTCTGTAAGTCACATTGTCCCTAGCCTTGGGCCTGCACCTGAGAAGCAGGTCTAGCCTCTCCCAGGCTAGTGCTCAGGGCCAGCAGGACATAGCGATCCCACCGACAACCATACCCCACCTCCTTACACATGCTCCTAGATTTGGGAGTTTTACAAAGTGACGGACTTGCAGGACCCTTAACAGTCATCAGTGTCAACCTGACATTTACAGAAGGAAGATGGGAGCTCAGAGCAAGCTGTGTCATACCCCAAAATGCTAGTGCTGTCCTTGGAACTCAGGCCATGAGGAGGGAAGCTAAAACACCCAAAACCCCCTCTCCACACACACACACACACACACACACACACAGAGCACTGCATGTTGGCTCTGTGGGTCTCAGAACCTGCAAACCTGGTGTGACAGAGGCCACTTACCCCTGAGATCAAGAGGAAATATCAGCAGCATGGAAGCTGACAGCCCTGCTGCACAGACAGGGTGTGAGACTTTTTCTGAGTGGAAATGAATCGCCATGTTAATTCAAGGATGAAGACTAAATGTTTGAGTGTTTAAAAGTGTTTCAGTGTGAGAGTTCAGCACCCAGACCCCACTCTCAGGCTGTGGGAGTAGAGATGGCTCCCAGAGCTCGGCCACCTGACACCATGCCCTTCAGGATCCTTATCCAATAGAATGCCAAGGAGCTGACACTATGCTAGTCCTGGTCCTGCTAGGACTCACAGTGGCCTGGCAGCATGGGGTTTGCTCCCTTGGGAGCCCCGAGATGTCTGGCAGGCAAAGCAGGCAGGGAGTTGTACTTATGCCTCATGCCTTAGATTATGTGAAGGGACAGATGGGCACAGGATGGAGAGGCCTCCTTCATGGCTCACTGTCTGCTGTTCCCAGGAGCAAAGCGGCCCAGTTCCAAGTTTTTGTCAGAAAGGGGCGCATTCTCTGTCTTAGTGCAAAAATCAAGTTCAGAGAACAGCCCCTGGAGGTTCGGTTTCCAGGTACCACCACCAGGTGGCTCCAGTGCTGTTAACTTCTAAGCCGATTTTGTTTTTTCAAACTGTTTTCAAAGCCATTTCTCCCCTAAAAATAGAATTCTCCTGGCCTGCTGTTGCCTTGAGCTCGGTTACATTTTGCCCTTCAGTGGCAGTATAGGGCCTCAGCTGGTGCAGGGCAGGGTAGGAGACTTGGTGACTTCAAGCCTGAGTTCCACAGCCACAACTGAATGTGGCTCTGGACATTTTACTCAACTTCTTTGGGCCTCAATTTCCTCATTGGTAAAATGGGTACCATATTCCTCTCTCTCGGCATTGTGGTTTGGCAGCAGGCAGTGGGGGCCTGGGTGGAATGTTCTAGCAAGTCACCAAGCATCCCCTCGCTGGACAGCTTAGTCAGCAAGGGGGGCTGTCACTGGGAATGGGAGCAGTGAGGCAGGAAAGGCAAGTGGGCTGGGGTGCTATGGGATCTCCGCACCCTGGGCCTGGCTGTCTCCTGTCCCTCTGTGCATATCTTGGGACCTCGCATCCTGAGAATGGTCATGGTCCTTCCTAGCATCCCTGGCCTCGTTGTGGCAGAGCTAGGGGACACTGTGGGTGTCTTACGGCTGCTCCTCTGACTGCTCCCATGTTTCCTCTGACCTCGCTGACTGCCCCTTTCCAGTGTCTGTGGGGCCCTCTTCCTCTGATGACCCCTTGGACACTCCTCTCCCTGTGCAGGGCTTCCTCCTTGGTCCCTGAGCATCATTTCTCATTCCTGTGACTCCAATTCCTGTCTTCTAGAGCAACATAATCCTAAAATTGAAGTTGTCCAGCTGAGATGCTCTTCAGAGCTCCAGACTCTTTTGGTGGCCCTGGCTACCCCAAGACTGGCACCACTCTCATGTGGGGGTCCCAATTCTGAACTCCCCTGGGAGTCCCGGCCTCAGTGGAAAGCTCAGCTCCCCACTACATTTAGTAGGTTGAATGGTAGTCCCCCAAAGATGCATCCCCTTGTAACTTGCAAATGGGACCTTATTTGGGGACAAGATTCTTTGTATGTGTACTGAGTGACGAATCTGGAAATGAGGTCATCCTGGAAGAGGGTGGGCTTTAGATCCAATGGCAGCCATCTTTGGAAGAGAGAAGGGGAGGAGACAGACATGGGAGAGAAGCCACAGGAAGACAGAAGAGAGCTTGGAGTGGCACAACCATAAGCTGCCTAAAGCTGGAAGAGGAAGGAAAGGGTCCTCTCAGATCTTTGGGAGGGAGTGTGGCTCTGCTGACACCTTGGGTTGAGAGTTCTGCCTTCCAGAACGCTAAGAGGATTAATCTGTGTTGCTTTAAGCCACGCTGTCTGTGTGCAGAGCACACAGTGGGGAGTGGCCCCTTCCTGCCATAGGACCTGGGCTCTTTCCACCTGGCAAGGGCCATGGGGCCTTCAGTGCCCAACTGTTTGGCATGCTTCTCAAACCTGAGTCACTCTGAAGCCCATAAGAGCCCTATTGTGATTCTCACAGGTGTGGACAATAGGCCGGGTGGTCCTGAAATGTCTCTGGCTGGCCATGGGCATGCTGACAACACCACCTACGGATCTTGACTTGGGACCTGGAGGACCCATGGATAGAACCTAGGAGCCCTGTGACTTAATATAAATAAAAACAAATGTTCAAGCCAGGCACGGTGGCTCATGCTTGTAATCCTAATACTTTGGGACGCCGAGGCAGGTGGATTGCTTGAGTTCAGGAGTTCAAGACCAGCCTGAGCAAGAGCTAAGACTGAGCGAGACCCTGTCTCTACTAAAAATAAAAAAACTAGCTGGGTGTGGTGGCAGGCAGCTGTTGTCCCAGCAACTTGGGACGCTGAGGCAAGAGGATCACTTTAGCCAAGGAGTTTGAGGTTGCTGTGAGCTCTGACGTGCCACGGCACTCTACCCAGGGCAACAGAGTGACACTCTGTCCAAGAAAAACAAATAAAACAAAAACTAAATGTTTATTTTCTCTAATGGCTTCTTAAAACGTCCTCTTCTCTTCCATTATATGCAGGGCCAGTGTCCTCAGCTGTACTAGAGGCAGCTGTGTCTTTGGACAGAGCCCAGGGAGTCAGTGTCCTGGCCATGTCTATGCTCACACTGGTTGGAGATCACTGGGGTCGTGGGCCACCACTGGCTCTTGTTATTGAATCCATGCATACAGACGCACCTAGGTTAATTCTGATGTCACAATTTGTCTGGTATTTTGATAACTATATGTCAATACCCTTGGTTTCTCTGTCACCTCATGGGCTCTGACACATCTCAGAATGTCATCCTGAGAAGTCACCAGTGCCCGGTGCTAAGCATGGCGGCATAGAATGGCTGAGCAACGGCACCAGACCAGGGCCTTTCCACCCCTCCCAACATCCATCCAGGTCCTTGTCATCTTTGGTCTCTATCATTGCCCAAGATAGCCTCTCACGGGGCACTTGCACCCATCATCACATACATTTTCCCCGGGGGCAAAAGGGGTCTCCCTCCTCTGCCTCTCTTGTCCTTGACTGCCCCTGCCTACAGCAGGGCCCTCTTGTAATCCTCTCCAACCCTGAATGCTCCCTGTCTCTCTTGGGACACTGAGGGAAAACTGAGGGACCTTCCCCTCCTGCCCCTGTGGAGCGCAAGGAGCATGGCCACCCCAGCAAGCTGGCCTAGAATGGATGACCCAGCTACACCTCTGACTCATAAGAAATTATAAGCCACTGGGTTTGGGTAGCGTTTGTTATGCAGCAACAGCTAACTGGTAAGACCCTCCACCTCAGGCACATGTGTTGTGCCACTGGGTTCTGGCCTCACAGAAGTGACATTGTTATGAGGAAAATCACAGCAGAGAAAAGAAACCCATCAGTGCCCTGAGAGCCACAGGCCTCTTGTTTCTCCAGGGGCAGGCCAAGGGCAGAGCAAGTATTATCTCAAGTGTTTAAGGAACATGGCCTCTCCCTCCTGTCCTGCCTGATGCCACAGAGCAGGTGAGCCAGGCAGGGTTTGCTGGGATTACTGATTGGATCTTTTCAAACACCTGGCAGTTACTAGATGCCCAGCTCAGTGGGACTTTCTTACCATGCCCAAAGTGGCCATCTCCCACCACAAACGTTTTTAGTAAAATCTTCTCATCCTTAGGAAGCATCTCTCTCCCTAAATGGCATCCCCAGTGTTGGTGGAAGACAGGCTAGAGCCTCCTTGGGCAAATGCTTGCACAGGTAAATCTGCTGGTCACTTCCTGCCTGTGTTTCAAGGCCTGGCCACCCGCAGCAGTCTCTGTTACAAGGCTCTCATCTGCCAGGTCCTTTCTCCTGCTCCATAGACTGCTGGAAGTTTTGCCTAAATTCTTTTTCTATACAGGGATGACAGCTCTAGCTTCTGGCTGTTGGCCTGGACTCTGGGCTTTGCGCACTGCAGGCTCTCCTATCCAGGCCTGGTACATGGCCTCTTGCCCGTTTTGACCCTGAATGACACCATTCACACCAATCTCAGGTGGCTTACCTGGACCTGCCTTTGAGCCTCTGTGCTCTGATCCCTGGTACCTTCTTGAGATGTCTGAGCTGGTTTCAGCCTCCTCACTCTGCTGTCTCCTGAGCTCTGGCAGGAGGTTCACTCTGCCCCTGAGCTTGCCCTCACAGAAGTATGAGCACTGCTTGGGGTGCTGCCCACAGATGGAGATGCAGCTGATGCAGTCCCTCAGGAGAAGGTCGTAGTACTTGCCTTGCTCCTTGTGGCAGAGTGACTCTGGGAGACAAAAAAAGTGATGCTATTGTGTGACAGAGATCAGCAGGAGCTCTGCATCTGGCCTCAAAGGACATCAAAGTAAAAAAAAAACAAAAACAGTACAATTGATTATCAAAAGCAATCTCAGAGTAATAAGCTATGACCTTTCACAAGATACAATTGAAGGCTATGCATTGTCCTCTAAGAACAGTTTTAGCTACATGGTACACAGTTTGATAAGTAGTAGTTTTCCAGTATCTACTTCAAAATGTTTTTACTTTTCATTATTATTTCCTTTGACCTATACATTCTTTAAAAGTTTCCAAACATGTAAAGATTTTCTAGTTATCTTTTGAAATGGATATATAGATTACACTGTCATGTAAGATCTCTACTTATATTTTTCAAGCCTCATCAGAGAAAAGCATATTTCAAATAAACATAAGGAATGTAGAGAAGAAACCAGAATCTTCTTTGATACGTGGAGAAGAAGCTGAAAAAGATGTGGAAAAGCTCACTTTAATAGTGTTTTCACTGTCTTAATAATATAAATGAGAATTCTAGCAGCTTAAACAGATATCAGCGCTAAGGCAAAGAAGGCAGGGAGCTAAAGCCGAGTCATACTTGCTTCAAGATAGTATGCATTAAAATAATCTATTTGGGATAAACATTTACCTCACAGAAAGCCTCAGAATATGTTTAACATGAAAGTTTTTATGTGAAAAAGGCAAGTTTTTTCCTTAAAATAAGATTCTATTTATATGAAAATGTAGCTCTTAGAGAGATTTTAAAGACACATTTCAGAATTGGTGAAGGACAGTGATTAAGAACACAGACCTCAGCTTGGCGCCTGTGGCTCAAGTGGCTAAGGCGCCAGCCACATACACCTAAGGTGGCAGGTTCGAATCCCCAGCCCAGGCCCGCCAAACAA